AAACAATTAATCCCCTCTTATCATTCAAAACCATAGAAATTGATCGGATCGAACTCGAGAACCAGTCCTCAAGAAAACCCTAAATCCATCAACACAATAAAAGAAAAAAAAAAACCCTAATTCTGAACCAATATCCGAAATTCAAACAATCGAAACGAAAACAAAAACTTGAAGATGGAAATCGGAAATTAAATTTACTCCTTGAAGCTCCTTCAGAACGTCTTCCCCGGGGCCGTTGTTCATGAACTCCTCGCGGACCTTGTTGATGACATCCTCAATAACACTGACGTAGACACTGCTCGTGGAGGCCGCCATTTTTAAAATCTCAGCTCCGCCTACCTCCGATTCCGTCAAAAGCAAAATCGAATCGAAGATTTCCCGGTAGAATTGAGGCAGAGAAATCTTCAGCGCAGATAATCGATACCGGTTTGAAGACCTAACATGCAATTAGGTTTGGGGTGTGTGAGTGTAAGGGAGAGGAGAGAGAGACAACGGCGGAGGATAGAGGGGCGAGAGCGAGGAGGGAGGGAGGGAGGGAGGGAGGGGGAGGGGGAGGGGGAGGGGGAGAGAGAGAGGGGCGGACGAGAACTGAAGATTAAAGAGTGGAATATAAATAGGTTTGCATCCGATTACATGAATGGGTCCACGTGGCGAAATCTGCACGGTCCTGATTTGGGCGTGAGAGACTAAGAGCAGTTTCAAGTTTCGACCCGTACAATTATTGTCCAAAAATTGAAAGAAAAAGGAATTCTCCTAGCCATCCAGAAAACTATGGCAAATGGTGGGCACAATTGTGCCCGACTACCCAATCAGGCAAGAATTGTCTGACTCTGCATCCGAGTGGTTTCACGTCATGCTGACATCAGTCATGTTCAAAACTCATTCTGGAAGTGATGGTTGGGTTAGTGGAGAGATGTTGGCTGGGAATTTATTGTTGGGTTTGGCTTTGTTTTGGTGATTTTGTTGTTAATTGATGACTTTGATGAAGTGCACGATGTCGAGGAGGACGAAGACAAATAAAAAAAATGAGGTAGAAGATGGAGAAGAAAGAGGGGGATTCGTAAAGATTAATTTTTTTAATATCAATTGTTCGGACAATTCATTTTCAGGATAAAAATACATTTAGGCAATTACCATTCACTAAGAGAATAATTGTTTATTTTCCAATTGCTTGGCAATTATTAACCTAAGGGGGTGGAACTGCTGTAATACCATCTCTAATAAAGAAGGTTAAAGGTCAAAGGGCCAAAACATGTCCAGAATTTGACAAAACTCATCTCCACTGAATGGCTGGTTAAACTTCAATGGAGTCCACTAGACCAAAACTTGGCAACAAAAGGCATCGAGTTGGCCAAGCTTGGCCTTCCACTCAACCCGTTTTTTGGGGCCTAGCAGTAGCTGTTGCATATCCACATTCAAATCCAACAACTGAACTTGGAATAATCCAAAGACTACCACATTAGGAAGGCCCGTTGCTAGCTGACGTCAGCTAAACATTAGATTTTTTTTTTAACGCAAAATTTAAAAAAAAAAATCATAATTTTCCTATCCATACCTATCCCATAAATTGCTATAAATAGCTATATTTAGCTCCTTCAGATGAAGATGGTATATGAATATAACCTAACATTGTTTATTATAAAGTTATTTTGTAAGACTATAATTCTGGACGGGCTATGTTTAGCCTCTTTAGTTGGAGATGGCCTAAGCATAAAGGTTATTCTCCATAGGCTATGTAGTTTTTTATATTGTTGTGATTTTGGGTTAAGTAGGAATAACCACTCAACTTTTAGACGTGATACTAAATTGGTCCATAACCTTTTAAAACATTCTAAATAACGACCTAACATTTTGAAAAATGAACACTCGGTAGGTCACTAGTGTTAGCTGATGATGTCATAATTGTTAATTGATAATGTTCTTAATGTTAAGTGACGAAGTGGACAAAAGTTGAAGCTGATTCACTAACACATCATTTATGAAGTTCTGGATCCCCAATGTTGAATACAACGATATCATGTACACTGGTTAAAGAATGAGTGCAGTCACATAATCGATTAGCCATAATAATTAGTATTGAATTCACACTCTACAGGAGTCGACTTTAAAATCACTCACTAACTACTGAAGAGAAATACCACAAGATTGTGAAACGAAGTGGCATTATCGATCATTATTTAGATAAGGGCAAAACCGTTCTTATTTCAAGTATGTTTACTTTCATTTTGTATTTAGATGAAGAAATTGTTAATTAATAGAAGTTCTAAAATGACGGAATTTAAATCTCCATCATATAAAGTTCCGATAATTATAAATTATCTTGTTGCGTGAAATTTTCAAACGATGAAAATTATAAATTCTAATGTTTGGCTCTTGAAATTCATTGGCAATTTCTCAAAATTTTGATAGATTTTGTTTCTTGTCGGTTGAATTGTATGACATACAAGTCTTTTACATCATCTAATAAAAAATTAGAACAAAAATAATAATAATAATAATAAAAAACATGAAGAAAACACAACAAAAAAAAAAGTCACTAGTTCATCATCCTGTTTTCCTCTTCATCTGTAGGCTATAGCACGCTTTCGTCTAAATGTTTGAACCTTTTATAATAATTTAGGAGATGGAGAATTTCGAATATATGATGTATTGGTGAAAACACAACACTCTATTTACTAAGATACTAGACCAAATACAATTGATGTATGTATACTTAATTGTATTCTTTTTCTTGCTGTAGAATGTGTGAGAATTATGCCTTATTAGACTCAAAACCGAAACAGAGAAACTAATAGACAATCTATTACTTACCACAAATTAAGCAACTGAACGTATACAAACTAAATAAGTGTACCATTTCATTTGAGTATGGTCAATCCATTAACCAAGAGTTTAAGTATCCACTACAGTTTTAAGTATCAACTATGCATGTGTATAAGTTTATCTTACATTGTCGGTCTTAAGCCCGGATAAAGGAAGAGGAGAAGAAGGAACGCGTAAGGTAGTCAACAGCTGACACTCCGTTTTCGCGTCAAATTCCTATGATAAATTAGTATGCGACTAAAAACCTTCAATCTGAGATTGGGATTCTAATATTCAATCCGAAAATCTTTTTCCTCTCTGCTGTAGCTCTTCTTAATCGATCATTATTACGAGAAACAGATTTCTGGCTCGGTGGAAATTAAAGAATGACGACCCTTCTGATGAAAATTAAAGTCGGAAATTTGGAAGCTCAATTTCTACACTTCATTTCATGATTTTCAGTCGAATTATCCACATGCCCGTTCAAGGCCAGTCTAGTACTACTCTCCTATTGCCTTGATAACTTCACCGATCACACAGAGAGAGAAGGTATCCTCCAATGCACGAGGTGTTATAAAACAATGGAGCATCATTTGAAAACTATAGTGAGCGAGGTACCTCGTGCCCGTCGTGAATGCTTTGAGGGCTTTCTTGTTATCTGCTTCCGAGAGTACTCGTGACTGAAGCGCCCGATATTGACGCAGTAATTTGTCTCGGTTCTAACGAATGGGCTATAAGTTGCTACATATCAGTTTGGAAGATATGTTAGGCAACGAAGAACGTGTGAAGGAATCTACTGTCTTGAGTTGCAGATGGTAAAACCAATTGAGGGATCTACTAGAGGGGAAAAATAAGACAGCGTTTTTCATCATTGTGACTTCAATATCGTCGAGTTCCGGATCCAAAATCAGTGAAAATATAACCCTGCATCCAGTTCGCAAATAAAAAGTAAAATAAAAACAAAAATAAACGAAATACAAGATTGAAAAAAAAAAAACTCTCTTGTACAAATAACCAAAAATCCTTATAGGTGTACATAAAATAGTAGAACTCTCAAATCCCACTTCTAACACAATACCTTCTCATCTAGCCCTAGTTTTGTCAAACAACCACTACCCTGCCCAATGAGTAGAATATATAATATGTCACCTAAGCGATGCCGTTTGACACACTCTAGAAAGTAGAGTAATTATATAAAACCATATATCATATAATTCCATATCTCATTATCTCTTCACATGCTAGTTATACTTCATAGTATGTTAATGCAGGGTCCTTTTCAACCCCAAGAGTCCAAGGAACACCGAATCAAGGAACACCAGCCCAAGGACATAGGCCCAAAGGAAGGCCAATGCTCGACAAGATTGAGAGGACGGTCTCGAGGGCTATAGAAGATTGCTAACAATCTAAATTGTCTATTAGCGACGAGGCCAAGTGCTTCCCATAAAGTACTTTTTGACCTCCAAGGGCAAGGTGGTGTACATATAGCTTTATAGCACGAGGTCCCAGGAATAGAGAGACATGCCTACTTAGACATCAACTGGAGGCTATCCAAGAGAACAAAAGCCTATGAAGGGACATAAAAGCTGACAGATAAGGCATTTGGATGCGGGGTCCCACCAACTTCATATTTGAGCAAGGCGTTTGGCATGAGTTGTCTCAAGAAAGCATGCAAGTGAATCTGGATAGGTTTCACTTCGTTGCCACGTGCTGGCCAAAGAACGAAGAGGCATCTAGCATATCAAATTTACGTATTCGGCGCATTAAATGTAAAGGCGGTTAAACGTTTGAGCTTAGGAACTTAGGGCTCTTTGAGGGGCTTATATAAGGAGAATGGATACTCTTTATAATGGGGTTGGACAAATTGAGAGAGAAAAGAGACTGTGTTAAGCCCTGAGTTCTTAATAAAAGAAGGATGATACTTCTTTGAACTCGGGGCTCGTTAAGTCCATAATATACATCTAAATTTAACAGAAAAATAGACGAAGTTAATGAAAAAACCAATAGTACAACACATTATTAAATTCGAAGTCTTAAAAAAAACTAATATGTAAGAACTCAATTTAATTATGGATAAAATTCAGAAATCATTTCTACAACTGGAAACATTGGTAATAGTATACTTTCTCAAATTTGGGCATAGGGCCGTTGGCCCAATACAGTCTCACAATTTATAAGGTCTCTCTCGAGTCTCTCGTACCGACCCTATTCCTAACCGTGAGAATAAGTTCCCCCACTACCCACACACATGGCGTAAAGCTCAACTACACACCGGCCGCTCTGCTACCATCTCTCTCTCTCCTCGATCTTCACAGAAAGCCTTCAGCTTTCATTGTCGCAGACCCTGAAAATGTCTGGTGGGTTCTTCAGGGTAAGTCGAATTGTATCGGATTTCGACTCAATTAACTAACCCAGATCTTCAAATTCAGAAGCTTTAATTTTTACTGATTGACTTATTGGATTGTGTTTGTTCAGGGTACGTCCGCCGATCAGGACACTAGGTTTTCCAATAAGCAAGCCAAGCTACTAAAATCTCAGAAATTTGCGCCTGAATTGGAACATTTGGTTAGTCTCTTAATTTTATTTGTTTGAATATAATCGAAATTTGAATTTGCATATAAATTTTGTTAATTTTTGAGAATTGGGTATTGCTTAAGAGTTGACGAAATCGGGTTTGACCAATTGGTGTGGTTAATTGTGGATGAATTATGTGTTGTAGGTCGATATGTCGAAGGTGAGTATGGATGTTATGCGCCCGTGGATTGCTAATCGGGCAACGGAGCTTCTTGGGTTCGAAGATGAAGTTCTTATCAACTTTATTTATGGTCTTTTGGAAGGAAAGGTAATTTATTGCTTAGCTGATAGGTTTACTGTTAATTATGGCTTTTCGTTAGTGCATAAGTATGTCTAGTTAATAATGAGGGTGAACCATATGATTTCCCATAGTGATAAATGTTGTCATAGCCCTTCACCTAGATGTCAACTTGTGTTAATTTTGATTATTGATTGATTAAGATTTGTTGGTATGAGATCCCTGGGTCTGTGCATTTGTGGTTAATAGTTATGTTGTTTGAACTGCATATGTTTGCTACAATTTGTAGGTGAATGGGAAGGAAATTCAAATATCACTTACCGGATTTATGGAGAAAAATACTGTGAAGTTTATGAAAGAGCTTTGGACGCTGCTTATCAGTGCACAAAACAATGCTAGTGGTGTACCTCAACAATTTTTGGATGCCAAACAAGAAGAAGCACGGAAAAAGAAGGTTAGTATATTTTCAGTGTCACATCAAGTTCCAAGTCTGTTGAGATGATACAGCTTTATTAATGATATTGTGTTATGGATTCTTGCAGGAGGAGGCAGACAGGTTTGCAAACGAAATTCAGAAAAAGAAAGAGAAGGAGAGGATAGATCAACAAGAGATGTTGAAGATGGTAATAATATTTCATGCTGGAGTTCCATTCTCTAGAGCTGGGTTGTTTTGTTTTAACTTCCGTTTGTGTTTTCATGCATTCAGCTAGCTTCTGCAATTATTTGGGTTCATTCCTTTTCCTCAAACTACTGTAGGAAGGAGGGGCTGGTAAGAAAGCTAACAATGCTGCATTGGAGCCAAACACAAAGCATATGTCACCAAGGGATTCAAATGATCGTTATGAGGATGAAAGAGGAGCTGAAAAGAGGAATGGTGTGAAGGCAAGGAACAAGTAAGAAATTTGGAATTGTTTTACCATTCATTAGTGTTGTTGTTATGTGTGCTGTATAACTATGCTTTGCACTTATGCATAACAAACTTTTCCGTGCATTATGTGTGCTGTATAACTATGCTTTGCTTTGCTCTTATGCTTAACAAACTTTTCTGTGCATGGGAATTATTGAATTGTTTCTTTTCAGTACAAGTAACCATTTGTCTAATTATACTATGCTTCCTTGTTCTTCAACTATATGGAATACTGTAGCCATATCGTTTTGTTGTCTACACGATTCGATGTGAAAGTTCTCTCACTTCTTTTGTTAATTTTATTGTGTAAACCCACAGTCGTTCTAAAGGTTATACGTGTAATCTCCTGCAGGGTTTCCAGATCTCCAAATTCAGAAAATTCATCTTTGTCTCCTCGGTAATTATCGTGACTATCATCTTCCGTCATTAATATTAAATATACTGCTTGGTTGCTATAGAGCAAATAAAAATTTGGATTTCAGTTCTTTTAAACGAAGGTCCGCCTTCTAGGTCTATCAGTAGGTCACATTCTAAGCCAAAAGTTATCCGAGTATGTTTTGTTATTGAAAATAAAAAAACTCTCGTAATTTATTCTCTTCTGGTTTAAATTTCCTGTTTTGATTTTCATTTCTTAACTAGACTAACATTTTTTTTAGATATTGCATTTATCAAGAGTTTCTCATATATACATTGATAATTCAATTTAGATTTCCTAGCTTTTTCGGGTCTCACAATAATTATAATTATTTAGTGAAAGACACCGATCACAAAGTATTTCCAAGTCGCCAAAAGCATTGAGACGATCCATTTCTTCTGAAAGTGATCGCTCTCCACCAAGACGGCCTATTACAACTGTTCGGAGGCATTCACCTGAGGGATCAATCTCCCCGAGAAGAAGATCACCTTATTCCAGGCAAAGATCTAGATCAAATTCCCAACAAAGATCACCCTCTCCATATCGGCGTAGAGTACGTTCTCCATATTGGCGTAGACCCTCACCTGTGCGGCGCCGCAGATCACCCTCACCTGTCCGGCGCCACAGATCACCCTCACCAGTCAGGCGCCGCAGATCACCCTCCCCTGTGCGGCGTCGCAGATCACCCTCCCCTGTGCGGCACCACAGATCACCCTCCCCTGTCCGGCGCCGCAGATCACCCTCCCCTGTCCGGCGCCGCAGATCACCCTCCCCTGTCCGTCGCCGCAGATCACCCTCGCCTGTCCGGCGTCCCAGATCACCCTCGCCTGTCCGGCATCGCAGGTCACCCTCACCTGTGCGACGTCGCAGGTCACGCTCTCCTTTGCGACGTCGCAGGTCGCCCTCTCCTTTGCGACGTTGCAGATCTCGCTCACCTGTGCGTCGCAGATCACCCTCACCTGTACGACGGTCTTATCGAAGATCCCCATTGAATACACGGGATAGGTATGTGTCTCCCTTGCAGCATAGGTCACCAGTTCGTAGCAGGGGGTCACCAACTCCTCTGCATAGGTCTCCGTCTCTGCATGATCGAAGTTCATCTCCTATTCAGCATGATTCCCCTTCGCCAATCAGGAGAACATCAAAGCTTCGAAGATCTCCCTCACAATCTCCTCAAGAAAGAACCAGGTTTATATAACTATGTTTTTTTAAGAATTCTGTTTTTTTTTTCCCTGACCCATAGGCTTTTGTTTGGTGCATTGCATGCCAGATTTAAGCACATTAAAAGTTCTGTAGTGGTACTCATTTTGTGAGATTAAGTTATGGAGAGCTTTCCTTGTAGGGGCTTCTGTTGCATATTGTCAATTAGTTCTTAGCTACCTGTTTAGATAATTTTTTTTTATAAGGCATGTTGAGAAAAACAGCGATCTTATAAAAAACAGTGTTTACAGATCCCTTGAAAAAACTTCTCCCGTGCCACACCGGTCTAGCTCGCATGGGTCATTGCAGAGGGAATTAAAGAATGGGAATGATTCGCGTAAAAGAGCAACAGATTTCTTGCCATCACCAGAGAGGTCTTGCATACTCTCAGAATCTCAACCAGGCGTAAGAAATTCTAGTGAAGAAAGGAGGTATACATCTTGGCTGCATATTTGATTCATATGATCTCACAACGTTAGTCTTTGATTATTTTATTAGTTTTGTACTTACTATTTCATGCTGCATTAGAAGAAGTTTGTCTAGCCCAGATGAGAGTCCAGTTAGACGACCAAGGGAGCAAATGACTCGGAATGTTAGCTCAAGTCCTCCAAGGAAACTAAGAGAACAACTTCGTCGTGGAAGTCCTGACACAAGTGAAGAGTAAGAACTGAACTATACTAGGTTCATTTGCATTTGAAAATTTATCAGAATATTGTTGATATACTCTTTGTTATCATTTATCATGGTATTATTCAATTCAAAATAAATAAATTATCATAGCATTAGAAGATTTTCATTCTTTCAATTTATCTTTACTAATTTTGGATTTTTTGGTGTGGTATCAGCAAGCCGATAGTTTCTCCTGCTAAGGTTCGTAACAAGGAAGAGTACTCTAAGAATCGCCTGGGTAATAAGGACTTCAGAAACAAAGAGCAGGAGATGAAGAGGTAAATATGCCTGCAACACATTTTATAATGCATATATGATTTTACTTGGATGCACTTAATTTGTAGGTCTGACATTGTTACACTCCTGACAGTGGGAAATCTTCTGGGAGGGGGGTTCCTGAAAGTCCTGATCAACAACATTCCCCGACCATATATAAGGACTCTCTACATGGTGAGATGCAAAATCCCAATGATGGTAGAAAATCTGATGAAAAGAACCGCTCTCATTCAAAAAATTCCAAGGACAGTGATCGGCATCGCAAACTTGGATCCGTGCACTCATCAGTTGAAAAGGTTGATCCTAGTAATCGAAGTGGTACTGTTGATTCTGGTTCCGAGGAAAGTGGAAAACGCAGAGGTGGGGATAAGGGAAAAAGAAAGAATAAGAGATCAGAGAGGCAAGAAGTTACTTCAGAGGATGATTACAGCAATGATTCTGAAATAGATGAGAGGAAGGATACTAAAAGGAGAAGGAAAGAGGAAAAGAGATCGAGGAAGGAGAAGAAGCGCCGAAGACGCGAGGAGAGACGTCGCAGAAAAGAAGAACGTCGTGCAGAGAAGCTGAAAGGGAAGAATTACAGTGGTGCTTCTGCTTCAGATGGTGAACATGTAGGCAGGAGGGAGCTTCATTCAAGTGACAATGAAGAGACGGAGGCTGTTCAGAAGAAACTTGAGATTGAGTTACGCAAGAAGGCTCTCGAATCACTTAAAGCAAAAAAGGGCATTAGTCACTAAATTTGTTTCTGTGTTTGGACACTGTGATGTTTAATCTTTTTAATTATATTAAGAAATAACATTTCAGATTTGGTAGGAGTATAATTTGTTTGAATGTGAGTATTTCTATGTTTTGATTACTGTTTAATGTAATCTGTGTTTACTGCTGGCAGCTTAAGTCGATAAATGAGGATTTCCTGAGCAATTCTCTTGAGTTCAACTTTATGCAGACCTTGCTGCTAGATTTTCTGGTAATGGTTGTCTTCTGTGAATTGTGAATATGATTTGTTGTTTTGTAGGATGTCATCATCATATGGATGTGGAGTATTGGTTTTTGTCTGATTTTGATTTTGAATTGGAGTTCTAGTTTTTTTAGTTGTTGAACACTTGATTAAATTTTGTATTTGGGCATTGTTAGCTTGTTTGATGTGCAAAGTTGGTTATAATTTTGGGTAGAATTTGTTCCGGCCGTATGATTGGTTGACATTATTTGTTTCTTACAACGTAAAGAATCTGAAGGTCTGTTTCATTGATGAGCATTTACTAAAACTAGCTTCCTGGTTAATTGGTAGATGAAATTTGTGTCAACTAGGTATGAACTACTTGAGCAGATCATGTGCAGATTCACATTTTGACCATTGATTCAGGTAAGCTTTTCTATGCCTTTACGGGCTCTTTTAGAGGAACAACTCAGTGTCTCTAGGGGAATCCTCTTTCTCCCTCTTTCAATCTAATAATCTCTCTCTTTTCCCCTCCTAGTTTGTATATTGTTGTTACTTTCTTACTTCATTTGTGTTTAAATTTTAAGGTTGGCAGCTTGAGAGTTGTTCCTGGGACTAATTTATCTAAAATAGTCCGACGGTGCTGTGGTCTGGATTTGTCCGGTCCTGATGTTGATACCAGCTATAAGGTTGATTGGGATGGTAGTCACATTTAATTTTGATAGGAAAACTTGTTGCTTGGATAATACTCTTCTGTCGTTGGGCAGTACCGTTGAAAAATTGTGATTTTAATCGTTCATTTAGACATATGGTATGTGAATCTTTGGCTGCAGTTTTTACTCTCATTTCCTTTCAATAGTCGGTCATAAGTATTTTCTGCATCTTGGCATGGATTTCATTTCATTTTCAGAACTACAATGACACATCTATTTTGATGTATTACCGCCATTTGCAAAAGGATTTGTTTTGCGGTATATCTACGCTTAAGAAGCTTAAGAATTAGCATTTAAGTAGCAGATTGATTGTGTGAGTTTTGTTGGAGATGTGAAGCATGGAGTTGTATTTGTAACGTGTTGTCTGACTTAGCATAAGTAGATGCGGCTTATGGTTATGGACTTGGATGCTGATACCAACCCTCATGGAAGGGGAATGAAGGATGAGAGCGCATCTGTTTTGTAGTGAAGATCTTGGTGAGCATACTAGTACGCGATTATATTTTGCTTGCCAGATTGTGTTTAGGTTTTAGGTGGTCTTCGACTGAAAATTTGTTTACGTGTTCCCTGAGTTAATATGTTTTCTGGGTTGTCCTTTTTGGTTTCCGACCCTCACCCGTCCATCCTTCACTTTTCGCAGGTAGTACCTAGCAAAACTCCCATTCAATAGGTTGTTTTCGATTTCCCTGAGTTACATCGATCTACTTGCTTTAGGCTTCGAGTCTTATGGTACTTCTGTTAAAGAGCAGATAACCTCTTGCCGGAGATTTTGTTCAGTAACTGGGAATACACACCTGTGTGTTGGCATCTCCGGTGAGAGACAAGATTTTTGCTATCCCACCGGCGTGTTGCCATTAAAGTTCCCGAGATCTCTTCTTGCTCACTCTCTTATGGTGCTTCAACGAAACTACCAATATTATGGACATTAAGTTATTTAGACCATATTATGGAATTCAAATCCGCTTCAGACTGTGTTCCGAGGCGACGGACCAAGGAATTCAGGTTGTTCAAGAGAGAAAGAGATTTGAGTTGTTTTTTGTATGAAGTGGGCCAGTGAATGTGCCAATGAGAGAATTTTCTGGTCCATCGGGTCTGGATATATTCAGAGAGGATCTGAATTACATACTATGCATCCGCGGGCCATGCCTATCTTATTATTTCTGTGGAATATAGAATTATCATGGCTCTATGTCATTTTCTGGAGGTTCAATCCGCCATTAAATTCTTGGTGTCCAATTTTCCTCAAGTAGATATCCCGTGCCACATGGCGCCATTTCATTCGCCTGCTTCCATACCCTCCCATCCAGATAATATTCGTGCCAAAGGCTCGTACTGTGCCGGAGCCCGTCATGGATATGCAAAAAATCTGAAGTGTGAGGGAAAGAGCCACTCTTTGCATCAATGGCTCCAACTCTCACTTCCAATTCGTTTCTTCTAACCTCCACACCCAACCCATCAAGAGCAACAAACCTCAAGAACCCGAGGCTCTCGGTCTTCGCCAAGAGGGCAGGACCCTTGTCTGCGTTTCGGTTTGGTAAGTCCGGGGACGATGGTTCAGTGTTGGACGAAGGACAAGCTGATGACTCCACCAATTCCAGCCCTTTCCGGTTTAATTTTGGCAAAATGCCCGACGTAAAGTCTTTGGTCCCCGTTGTGAGTCGGCCTTCTTTAGGTCTCTCATTCGGGAGCCAAAGAGCGAAGGACCCTGGAACTGTGTTTGTTGCTGGAGCAACCGGGCAGGCTGGGGTTCGGATAGCGCAGACCCTTCTGCGTGAAGGTTTTAGCGTACGGGCTGGTGTGCCTGAGCTTGGTGCTGCTCAGGAGTTGGCTCGAGTTGCTTCTAAATACAAGGTTAGCTTCTCAAACCAATTTTATGAACAATGTCAGTTGAAACAATGTCGTACCAGACTTTATAATGCTCACTTCGACCACGGGACTGATGTAACGTTGTCTAAAATTAACCATGATGATTTTTTTGACGGGAATTATAACGCCTTCTTAAACAATGAAATCAACATTAAAAGTATCGATTGCTTTAGTGGTAGAAGACTTATCTTTCGCTGTGCAAGCATTTTGTACACTAGATCATATCAAATGATGAATCAAAACGCCTCAACGCGGTCGAATCCGTCTTCCAAGATGCTGAGTCCATTGCCAAAGCCATTGGAAACGCCAGCAAAGTAGTCGTCACCATTGGCCCTGCCGAGAATGGTCCAACGACGGAAGTCACCCCATTTGACGCCTTGCAGGTGATTCAAGCTGCCCAACTGGCCGGCGTTGGCCATGTGGCGATAATCTATGATGGAAACTCAGTGGGATCATCAACGAACAATGTACTAGATGGCATATCTTCATTCTTCAACAACCTCTTCTCGCGAGCTCAGTCGTTGACAGTCGCTGAGTTTTTGCAAAAAGTCATCGAAATGGACGTTAGCTACACCTTTATAAAGACAAGCTTGACGGAAGATTTTTCGCCGGAGAGCTCTTATAACATTGTTGTGTCAGCTGAAGGAAGCGGAGGTGCAAACGACTACAAAGTAATGTAATGTAATGTATGCAATATTAGTGTTATGCTTTCGTTTTTATTTTTAGACACTAAACTTTTGTAGTTTGTCCTGATAATATTGAACATTACACTACTAGGTAGCCAAGTCTCAGATTGCAGCCCTGGTGGCAGATGTTTTCTCAAATACTTCCATGGCGGAAAATAAGGTACACAAAACTGAACACATTGCAGATCACATCTTTCGCCAATTGGGCTCTATCTATCCCATCCGGTTTGACCGTTGTGATAAATGTGATCGATCAAACATTACTTCTTTTTTCTTCTTCCCATATGTGTATATTCAAAGTTATTACATACATTGATTGGTTACTAGTATATAGTATTTTTCCGTTGGCTTCCCTATTGATTTAAATTATTTATTTTTATGATTGGCAAGGTTGTGGAAGTATATACCGATCCATCTGCACCCATAAGGCCTGTAGATCAGCTTTTCGGGTAGAACCCTAGTCATGTTTTCTTATTCAAAAAATTACTTTATATGGAAGATTTTTCTAACTGTGGTGCATGTTTTATTGGCTTTATATAGTACCATCCCTGAGGATGGAAGAAGGAAAGCTTATGCAGAAATGATTGCGAAGGCAAAGGCGGAAGAAGAGGCAATAATAGCTTCCGAGAGAGCCCGCGAAGCAGCTGAGGCGACGAAGAAACTTGAAGAAGAGGTAAAAAAGCTGACCGAGCAAGAAGCTCGCGCCTCAAGTTTAGCTGAAGATGCTCAAGTGAAGGCTGATACTGCAGGGGCCTCAATAGATGGCCTTTTGAACAAGGCAAAAAACATTGGCACAAGGATGTCGTGGGAAAAGTTTAGCACACAAGTTGTGGATACAGTTCAAAAGTCCATAGAGACGCCCAAACCAAAAGTGCAGATTGCGACCGTCAGAGGACAGTCAAGGGCTCGGACTTTATCTCCGCAGAAAGCAGTTTCCAAGCCAGTTTCAACTCCAAAACCAGCTTCTTTGAAACCTAAGGAGCAGCCAAAGCCTAAAGCTGAACAAACAGATGCGAAGAAAGAAGTGAGGAAGGTGTTCGGGGGCTTGTTTACGCAGGAAACTGTGTATGTTGACGATGAGTGAGACGATTAATTACTTGCCAAGTAATAGTCTTTTCAGACTATTTTGGTAAGGAATGTGTAGTAGATTGTGGTGTTATTGAAATTTGGAAGATGTTTAATTTTACACGAGTTCTAGCAAATAATTTTTGTACTGGTTAAAGTCTTTTCTCAATGAATAATGAATTACTCTCTTTCGACATCTTCTCAATAATCCAAACCTTAATTAAGTGAACATTTGCAAAAACACCATACGAAAAACAAATTGCAGAAACTTATGACCTAAGTTACACTAAACTTAAAGCAGACGCGGTCCGTTTAAAGCACTAAAAACACAAAACTAAAGTGAAACATAACGAAATCAAAACACTTATCAAATGATTCCGGATCAATTCCAAAACTTGGAATACATACGGTGACGTATATATTAAGATCACATTTCCAGTTGTCTGGTGCTGATTAGGTGCCACTAAACTCAAGGAAAATGTTTTATTAGTCATAAACATTATGTTATAAAGTTGGCTCTTCCATATCAATATCTTATAATGCATCACTTAGCACTGTCTTCTCCAAATAAGAACGACTTTAGTATTAATTGACCCTTCCTTTGAGGAACAAGAAATTGTAGCTTGCTAACAAACCCTTTAGCCGGAAAATCGGCTTAAAATTCGACGGGAAAAATATATTTTCTTGTAATGATATGGAAAGATTATAGTACTAGGAAACACTTTAGCAAACGACACTTAATTGCCATGGTAGTAAAATTTATTACTTGTAAGTTTTGTTAAGTGTTGACACACACGCAAAAAAACATGCTAAGGAAATATTTACAGATTGATCATCGGGAACTCAGTGAAAAACAAATTAAATAAACAGAAAAAGTTCATAATTCTTTGAAACCCTAACCCATAATAAGGTTCATCAGAGCACTCAGTCACATTAGCTGTGATATAAAATGTATTACGTTAGTGCCTCTAGTATTACTCATTAAGAAACAGTGTTTCTCCTCAAATGCTTTTCACTAAAAACTTTAGTTTGAAATTACTAAAAGATGATTTAGCCAAATTTATTTTGGGTCTTTAAAAAAAATTATATAGATTATTCTAATTTATTTTTAGGAATATTTTTACCTAAAAATTATTTAAATTCTGATAAATAATAAAAAAGCACTTACCTACCTCATTCTTACACATATGCACCACATGAAAGGACATGGAAAACCACACATCCTACCCCAATGCATAGGTGGGCAGAGAAAAAAAAAAGGAAGAATTGTTTGATGAAAGTGAATTTTGAGTGGATGTTTGAACAAATATATAGGTATTTAAAGAGTTTTTGGGTGGATTTGATTTAAATATTTTTTTAATTGTTTTAGCCATTGGATTTAATTTTGGGTTGTTAGATCTTTTTTTTTATTGTTGAATTTGCTTATATTTGATTTCAACCATTGGATTTAATGCATTTATAAATTTGACTCTTTTAAAAAAAAATGATTCTAGACCATTAGT